TACTGGAATTTGCTGCTCAAGTAGTCAGGAGACTGGGGGTTTCGAAGAAGAGTATAGAGGGTACGAAGAGTTCTAACGTTTCTGCGTTGACGAATGGGAAGCCATTTGAGCTGAGACCGATAGAAAGAAATATTATCGAACTTCCGAAGGTTGAAGATAAATTTCTTGACTGAGGAGACGCTCCAGCTTATCGAGAAGATCTTCATTAAGATCTGGATAGCATACATCAGTATAATCAATAACATGGACATAACAGTATACTCTGTTATGTCCATGGTACTGCTCATGTCTATAGGCGACGGTTACCACATTCCATCAGGTGGGCGGTCAGCTTGTTTTTCATTTTAAGTTGCATAAAAAAAAACCCAATTTTTTGCTATTAACGAATTTCGTCTCTTTCAAATTTAGAAATTAGAATAAAGGAAGGGGACAAAGCAATTCAACAATTTATATAATATATGATAATGGATCACAGGAATTGAATCAAGTTACAATGTTTGGTTTTAACAACGTTTGTTTCAACTTCATCCGGACTTTATGCCCATTATCCGGCATCATACATTGTAATAATAAAAAATATGTACTTAGAAAAGTGAGTACATCTTTCATGGGGCACCGTATACGTTTTTACAATAAACTAGCTACTCGCCCCGGCTTCGCACGGGTGCAAAGCTGATAAGGACTATATTGATCTATATTAAATGAACAATGTATTTAAGATACCTAATTGGATAAAAATTACTGCTGTATCGTTTAAAATCACTTCGTAAATAAGCCATTTTGCCGTGAAATGTAAAGGATAAAAAATAGTTATTGTGGGTTATCCTTAAGAGATAGACATATACCATCGCGGACTTTTTTGTTGACCTTTTTAAGGTGTACAATACTGTAGTACATTAATTTATCTCGTGGGGTTCAGCCAGCGCTTGCAGTGTAAGCGCAAAAAAAAATATTTATTTACGACATCACATTAGAAATCTCAAAATTTATCAATGTTTCTCTACAATATTATGCATGTATTATACACATAAAGCTTCCTCTTGAATCACTCTATCTATTAAAAAAAACCGCTTCAAAATCCGTTGCGTAGTTTTAAAGACTTTACTATGTAGTGACTTCCAGATGACGTTTTACATTTAAATGAAAGAAAATTTATGGTATATATAAAAAGGACTCGGTACAAAAGCATATTATAAAATAAATGACTATCTAAATGACAAAAATGCATGGATTTTAATATAGTATTAATGTGAGTTGTATTGTAATTATTGTATTTTTTTTAATTAATATTATTTTATATAGTATGTAGTAATAAAATAATATGTAGTAATGGCAAACAAGCTGACGGCCCACCTGATGGAAAGTGGTAAACGTCGCCTATAAACATGAGCAGTACCATGGACATAACAGAGTATACTGTTTCGCCCATGATACCCTCCATGCGTTGCCATACCTGAGGACTCGGGTGTTATTCCTGTACCTTGTAAATTCACGCCATATCCCACCCTTCAAACCGAAACACAGCCATGCAAACATAACTGTTTCACGGTAGAAACACGAATGGGACAGAGGTGGCCAAGCAAACGACTTTTGTACAAAGTCTCCCTCTAGTAATGAATAAAGATGATTGATTGAATAAAGTATTAAATAAATAAATAAATATTTTGTTATTTTCCCATTGATATCTGTAGTCAGTTAAGGACTATGAAGCAAATGTGTTATTTGTGAATAATATAACAAGAGTGTGAACACCTACTCATACAGATTTTTTAAATTATTTTTATTTAATATAAGAAAAAAAAAATTCATTTAAATCTGTTTAGTTATTTGGACATAATATACATAAGTTTGCAAAGATGTTTGATGTTGATTCATTCTAAGTTGATTCTAAGTTGTATAAAAATTAAAAAATAAAGACTCTTGGGTTGTCTTGAAGAGATTGCTCTCAGCAATAAGACTGCCTCACTGTACTCATACAACTGTATCAACAAGATTTAACTAAATGCACATGACATAACTGCTACATACAAAATATCCTCTGTATAATATTCCCATAGACATCAGTTCATTATGTATGGCATTTTTTATAAAGGGAGATAACGTTTGTAATGGAAAATAGAGATGTTACTGCACTGGAAAAGGGGAAACTACCAAGTTGAAACCATGCCAAAGATTGGATAAAGTGTTAATAACTTGTGACAAAGAAAACAAATCATGCAAATATATAACATACAAATAAATATAGTACATGTACCCAAGAGAGAGGGAAACTACAGTAACCAGGGGGTTGTTAGTAATAGAGTCTAATAGCTACTAACACACCCTGTCAGATCAATCGCCCTGTGATTTCCCTTGGAAACCATCATTTTTTTTTCTTCTCTCTCTCTCTCTCTTTTTACCCACCATCAGCTTTTCCATAACAGCCATAATCAGATAATATCTTATGTGAAAATTACCGGGGTTAAATGTAAAATTAGTAATGAGGTCAAATAGCCCCATTACTAGCAATATATCCTGTCAAGTCGACCTCCATGTGGTTCCCTCTAGATACCATCATGGTTAATTCTACTTGGATTCATCAGGATGGGCTAACTGGCCAACTTTCGTCCTCATCTATTATCTCCCACTGGTGCCTCGAAAGTATACCGATAGCATAGGAGTTACCATATCATTATCATCCATTAAGGAAAATCTGAGTCCACAGGAATGGGATACTCTCAGTATCATGGATGATACAATAAGCTCTGTTATGCCCATGGTCCTGCTTATATCTATAGGTGATGGTTACCACTTAAACCATGGTTACCACTTTAGGTTGACCGTCAGCTTGTTTGCTATTTTCAGTTATATATAAAAAAATAAAAACATGGTACACATTATTTTGAAGGTATCATAAATCTTCTGACATTCTGCATTTTCCTTATTTTTACATATAGAAGCATTTTAAATATAAAAAAATGCAAACTGTCAGAAATGAATATATAAGAAACAAAGACTAATATACCGGACACACTATATCCTGCTCTAAAATGAAAATGAAAATGGACAGAATATCTAATGCGGTACCAAGACAAAAGATGGGCAAAAGAAGAAACAAGGTGGTCCGGCCTAAATTGAAAAAGAAGGAAAGAATGACCTAGGAAATGCTGGAGTGATGATATCATTGCTACAGCAGGTAAAAAGTGGGAAATAAGAGCAAAGTAAGTATTGGTAGTGATAATTTAATTATGTAATTAATATATTATTATAATTTAATATTATTATTACTATTTTATGTATTTATTTATGTTACCAGAGGGAGACTTTGTACAAAAGTCGATTGCTTGGGTACCTCTGTCCCATTCATGTTTCTACCGTGAAGCAGTTGTGTGTGCATAGCTGTGTTTCGGGTTGAAGGGTGGGATATGGCGTGAATTTACAGATACAGAGGCATAACACCTGAGTCCTCAGGAATGGCAACGCATGGGGGGTATCATGGGCGAAACAGTATACTCTGTTATGTCCATGGTACCGCTCATGTCTATAGGCGACGGTTACCACTTTCCATCAGGTGGGCCGTCAGCTTGTTTGGCGTTCTAAGTTTTTTTAGTGCATTGATATATGGGCCAAACAATCAGTCACTCGGCATCCTTTTTTATATAGATAAAAATAAAAAAAACCCTTTAATCTATAGATTTGTCCAATAACCAATACCATGCTATAAACATCATCAATGTTTATAGCATGGTATTGGTGTATTTCTATGTAAAATTCATGCAACAAGGAAATCTGACATATTTGACAGTTTGAATCATCTTCATGACATTGAGAAAGAATACCACTACCCACTAGTACAAAACATTGGGGTAAGGGGCGGAAAGGGCAGGGGAGGGGAGAGGGCATGTGAAATAGAGAGAAATTGAATAAGATAATGGAGGTATATCCCCATAGGGAGACAAAAACAAGTATTAGTATAGAATAAATTTATTAGAATAATGTAAATGTATGGAATAAGTGATCTTAAGATGTCAATGCCCCTAAAACCAATGTCAATTAAATTGACACTGACAATCCATCTGTGATATTTGAGTTTTTATTGAAATTTATTGAATTTTAGATTTATTTGGTTCAAGAAAAAAAAATAGTAATATTTTTAAAAAAGAATTTTTAAATATCGACATGTATTTTGTAATTGCTATTTTTCACATGTAGTGTACATTGATTGAGCCTAGACTAAAACAATCACAATGGGATTACATAAAGTGTGATAAACAACATATATATATTTTTCATATATATGATATAATAGGTAAATTAGATAGATAATTTATTTGTAATTAGTAGCAGCACACAATTTGTGTACAACAGACGTTTGTGTACAATAGACATATAAAAAAAAGAAATAAAAGAATACATATATAAAAAAAAAACAGCAAAATACATAAAAGAAGTAACAAATTATATATATATATTTTAATTCCATTTCAATTATTTTACAGTAAAGAATCTTTAAAAAAAAAGTAAAAAATATATATATATATATTATTGTAGTAATAAAATTATTATAATCTTTAGAGTTTTTCTCATACAAAATCTCTGGAACAATAGTGTATTAAAATTTAAATTATGAGCACAGGCTCCTCATACTAAGTAAGACTCCAATAACAAAGATTTTTGGAAATGGCAATGTGAATAAGAAAAATTGTGTTCCATATAAAAATATATATTTTTTTATGTTTATTATATGATTTTAATAAATATGTTAATAAGTTATTAAATGTAATATTTACGTAATAAAGAAAAGAATAATGAATGTTTTAAATATAGGTCGAAATTTCGTGATTACCATAAATACCAGTTTACATTGCTCTATTGCTATGAATTTATAGTTTAAACTTGGAATAAGGAACATTGTTTTCAAACTGAAAATCACAGAGTATGAGGCCATTCTAAAGTGCTTTTTTTATTTGTTCATGGCTGGAACAAAGATCACAAACTTGTGAAAGGAAATTGATACTCACCATCTTGCCAAGGGTTTGCTGGCTCGAAATATTGCGTGACTATCTGATCATCTTCTGGAAACGACACAGTGCGAGAATTTTTCGTCTTTTTTTCACTATTTTCATTTTTAATTTCAACCTCTGTTAATTCGGTTGCACTAAACGCGCCAGCTTCTATATCGCACGGATTCGGACATGGAGTGTTTTTATCACGATCGGTAGACATATCTATCGCGTAAACTATCGTCACTTATCACTATAAACGACAACATTAGCAGAAAATAGTACAAAAAACACACCACGAAAAATTACATTTATTTAACTCAACAACGACGAACAAATATCTTTCAGCTTATTTTCAACACATTTATCTCGTACACACACCGGCCATTGCGTATTTTTTTCAGGTTTCGTCAGTTTTTTACTATTTTTATTGTTCGTTTCGAATCAAAACATTCCGCACCTTTCATACACCGTTTACCGCCATATTGGATTGAAGGAGACAAAAGGAAAGTTTTAGAGTTGATCTGTATGATGGCGCTTTTGTGCATACATTTCATAACTTTTTTAATATCTTTAACAAAGATTACCTCTTAGTTTTTGTATTTCGACAATATGTAATACAAAAAAAATATAAAATAATACTTAATTATAATTTCAATATTTATAATTTGCCTATTTATTAACATAAAATTAATAAATACTTTTTATTTACATATGTTACTCGTTTTAATACTGCTACCAACCACGAGATGTCGTATTATATAAAATTTGTGAAATCTGAATTTCTTTCATCACTTTAATTCATTTCTTTTTTTATTTTTAACCATAGACCTGACTTCTTAAAATATGTAATCTAAGGTATGTCTTTGCTCACAGTTAAAGGTTCAGCTTCCAATATTGGGGTAGGCCCCAGACAATTTTGGTGGTGGGTAGGACCTATCCGATCCCATCCTTTAAATAAGCTATAGAGCTGATAGTAACTAATGTGGCTGTAGCGCCAAAGAGCCCTAACTGAGGGGAAAGGGATTGTTAGTGAAGTATGACAGGCCTATTGCTAACAATATGCACTATTAGGTCGACCTCCACGTGATTCCCCCCGGAAACCATCGTGAACAATTCTTGTTGAATTCGTCTTGATTGGCTAACTGATCTGCTTCATCCTTCACTGGTGCCCCGCCGGTGTATACCATTAGCGCGGGTGGGGTTACCATTCGATTATCACCCATTTAAAAGAAATAAAAAAAGGCCCTAACTTACATAGATAGAGGACCAATACATTTGTTAATTAAATGATTAAAATTGCGGACAATTTAAATTTTGTTATCTAAAACGAAAAATAATTTCACATTTACATTTGGTTATAAATCAGTAAAGATAAGCATTATTACAAATCTTTATACATTATTTAATTTTTTTTTTTATTTATTTTTAACAATTTTGTATCGTTTTTATTCTTCAATTTAGTTATATAAATGTACATTATGGTAACCCTATTTACGTGCAGATGAATAAAAAAGTTGACTTGTTTTTGGGGAAACATTCCTTTGGTGTCACTTTATCAATATAATTTAAGGACTGTAATATATCTGCGATAGATATAGATGGGGTTTACACAGTTGTGTTTCGAAGGTCTGGTATATTTTGAAGCCCTTTCTTATAAATATAATAAAATTGTAACTAGAATATATCTGTACGTAAGTAATATATTTAATGACAATTAATTGAAGATTCTTTTCTGCAATAATTAGAATGGCAAACAAGCTCTGCATATAAATAAACGCAGTGTACGACTACCCACCGCTAGATGGAGTGACGACCTCAAATGCATTGCAGGAAATGAGTGGATGAAGGTGGCTCAGGACCATTCTTTGTGACAGTCTATGGGGGAGGCCTATGTACAGTACAATGATGAAAATACACCTGTAAATTAGCAAAAGCTGGTTCCAAAATAAAATCAATGTAAACTATTATAATTATTTATTAAAACTCAACATCATTATATCGTTTTTGTTTTTACACAAATTTGTTCACTTATAAACTAGAAAAATTATTGTATAATCTATATTACTTCTAAATATATAAATTTTGTATAAGATTTGTCATGAACATACAATTTCATGGCTCGTTTTACATTATACATTTTATGGACACATTAGTAAGTTACATTATTGGCATAATTCTGATGTACACTCAGAAAATATGTAAATATTTTGATAAATAGTATTTTTTCTTTTATCACTGCCATAAAAATAAATAGGCTGAGTAGAAGTGACACTCACATACAGTTGAATTTCGATTATCCGGACTTCATTATCCGGACTTCGATTATCCGGACTTATCCTTCACGGCTCTAATTGCCGATTTAAAAATAGTATTATGCATTAATTGGGTAAATAGGTATTACGTAATTTTTTTTTATACCGTATTATCTAAATAACATTTGTAAAATTTTTTACATAATAAAAAAAATAATTAAATTTAAATATATTTTTTATTTGACTTCGAAATCGATTATCCGGATTCCGATTATACGGAATAACTCTAGTTTTATCTGATTCGGATAATCGAGATTCTACTATACTTTATTTTTTTTAACGAGATAATAGGCGGAATTCCTTTGAACCTATCTCTTAAACTATTATTTTGGATAATTTCTCAAAATTACTGTTTTGTAAACCATCATAAACTAAAAATATAATTTAGTTTTAAATTAAATTTATTAGAAAATTAGTTTATAGTGGTCCAATAAAGATTTTGTGGTGAAATTTAAATTTTAAAGATAGATTAAGAGATAAATTTAGTATCCACCCCGATATCGCCAAAATGTACCCTTTTCTTCTATAGAGGCTGTAAAGATTACCTCCCAGGGTTGTCGCAAATTTACTTACGATGCGACATACGTGCGAGTGAGCGAGAAGGGCGCTTTCACTACAACGTTTTTGCGTGCAAGCCCTGACTAGCTATTAAAAACCGAGAGCCGTCAGGTCGCCATTTTAGCTATTATATTATTGAATCCACAGGAGTGTCCGTTCCACCTGGATATTTATTTTTATGTTATTACTGACAAGCAAAAATTACTGTTTGGCACTTATAACAAATATTTATAATACAAGATATTAAATGTATCTTTTTACTTCGCCTTTGGTTTCTATATTATACATAATATGTAATTCACACAAATCCTTGATAGACGCCATTTTTATATTTAAATAAAAAGAGAAACTTTTTTTTTTATAAAAATACGAAATATCGGCAAAGGAAATAAACTGATATTACATAGAACTTATTTCGTTTTGCACCAGCGTGTAGGTACGTCCTCCTACCATGGCGGGCAACACCGTTTGGATTACAAAGCGTTCTTGACCAAAACATTACTTTTCTTTGTATTTAGGTTTTTATCACAATTTTAGTTTAATTGCAAAGATTTCACTCATGACGGTATTGCCAGTCAGCAAAGTGTTAATATAGGTTAAGCATTTTTTGAATTTATCAATTACAAATAAACAAACAAATCTTTTCTCTTTCTAATGTTAGTATAGATAGTAGTTTTAAGACGATTCAACGTTGCCAGATTGAAAAATAATGTTTGCTAAAAAATATTTTGAGGAATGTAATTTTTGTTGAAATGTAAAATGGGTTTGGAGTAATTTGTGTATTTTTTATATTTGCCACATAGTGGTATAAAAATACAATATATCAGTGAAAGTAGCAAAACAGGGGATGGGATAAGAGAAGGACAGAATAAGAGCAGGAAATAAGATAAGGAGAAAATAATAGAAGAGAATAAGAGAAGATAAGATGTGAACACGTAGGAAAGGGCTTGTTTTCGTTTCACTTTGTGGTACTAAATGTACTGAAAGAAAATATAAATTTGTGATTGGATAAAAATAAATGAAATCATATCTATTTGAAAGAAAATATTAACATTTTGGTAAAAATAAAAAAATACATCTGGCAACACTGAGACGACAGACTGAATATGGCAACAAAAAAGGTACAGTTATTTAGAAAGCCAAGTACGTTTTGATCTGGAAGGGAATGTTCGTATGTTACTGGCCGCCATTTATATTATTATACATGTTCATAATTAAATACAAATAGAATCGCATTTTTAATTAAATGTATTTAATACAAATTATTTATTAAAGGTTACTATATAAAAATGACACATTTTCAATTCATCGCGAAGGTAAATTAGATAAATTTGACAGAAATTTATGTCAGATTTAATTAAGTGAATTGTATCGTTATTAAATTACCTGTAAAACATACGTTTAGCATTTAACACGTTAATGGCCACGATATCAGAAAAAAATTTACATGGGCCATGGTAACTTTATTAGATATTTTAGTTAAAAATGTATCAAGAAAACTTATTACATACATACATATCTGTCACGCCTGTCTCCCATTAGCGTAAGCAGAAACAATGGAACGCCAAATGCTTCGATTCAAACGAACCTCTTTCGCTTCTTCCACATTCATCAATCTTTAACTTATTGTATCGCAAAAATTTTTTTTTGCCAAAATTCCCGGAAGAACTCTATTTTTTACATCACACATAGATGACTTTACTTATTACAACTGAAACAATATACCATTATCCGCCTTCTACCAAATAGCGTACGTCAGACATGTATGTCTGACATGGATTATGTAGAACTTCTTAGCGTCAGACACATATCGTCATAGTCGTAGAATACTGACGGATCTGACGATTATTATATATATAGATCCGTCAGTATTCTACCACTATGACGATATAGCTGACATGGCAATTAACGTGTTAATTTTTTTTTATACCACGAAAGTAAACAAGCATACAGCCCGTCTGATGGTAAGCAGTTACTGCAGCCTATGGACGCCTGCAACACTAGACGTTTCACGTGCGCGTTGCTTAATATACCCAATACTGTAGTCTGTAAGGAAAACCTCGGCAGGGAGCTCATTCCACAGCCTGAGCGTTCGCAGGAGAAAATTTTTTTGAAACCGCACTGTACGTGACCATTTCAGGTTCAAACGTGTGAGGATGAGTTCCCTGTCGATGGCGAGCGATGCGATGGTAAAAGACGACTGTAGGCATTATTTTAAACAATTCCATTTGATACAGGATACTAAATAACAAATGATATATTCTTAATCCACCGATAGAGTAAACTAATTTAATCTGACAGAAATTTATGTCAAATTTAATACCATTATATGGCTTAGACATTTTCATTCTCAGATCTCTGTCTACACTTATATTTACGTACATAATCTTTCATCTGCTTTATAAAAACACTCTATCATACTTTGTATGTTTAAATAATTCATAGAAGGCACATTTTTTTTATATATATATAAATTGTTCTACAATTTACTTTTTTAAATAGGGGGTGAAACTGTGGTATCGAATCCGTTAGCATCGTTTTAAGGGAGTGTTCTTCTACGAGTGAAACTTAACATTTTTACCAAAGAGATTTTATATATATTTATTATTTCTTTTATATATATATATATATTTAAATTTATATATAAATATATATGCTTGCAGTGGTCCCGGCATGGAATAGATCACCCCTTCCTTTCCCATGGGTGTTGTAAAAGGCTACTAAAGGAACTTAATGGTCAAGGGATGAGAAGCACCGTTCTTTTTTTTTTAAAATCACAAAACCTAACTGTTGTTGCCAACCCGCCTGCCGAGCGTGGCAACTACTGGCAAAACTCCCCTTTTTGGGGGAGACTTATGTTCAGCAGTGGACAGTTAAAGGCTGGTATGATGATACTTATTTTACAACGTTTAGTATGGAAGGCTTACAAATTTTCAACCGACTTGAAAAAAAGGTTCTTAACTTAATTAGTTCATATTTTTTTTATATTTCTCACCTCGCAACTCCGTCACTTGTAAATTAACTTGGAAAAATATTTTTCTCAACTGGAAAACATACACTTATGCATTGGTCCCATTGGCATTATATCAAAATCGGTTCAGAAACAGAGTAATTTAGTTTTTGAATCAACAAAACTGATTATGTCACTATTGAAGATACTTTTTTTTTGACGTTTTTCGTCGCATGTTGTATAGCTGTAGCCCACTCATACACAACCGATATATCTCCTTTGGATAACACGCTATACCCTGAGGAGATAAAAACCATCGCTGCAGATTTTTCTGCCTGGTGAGGACAGTCTTTTTTTATACAACTTAGAATGGCAAACAAGCTGACGGCCCACCTGATGGAAAGTGGTAACCGTCGCCTATAGACATGAGCAGTACCATGGACATAACAGAGTAAACTGTTTCGCCCATGACACCTCCCATGCGTTGCCATTCCTGAGGACTCGGGTGTTATTCCTCTGTACCCTGTAAATTCACTGCTATATCCCACCCTTCAAACCGAAACACAGCCATGCAAATACAACTGCTTCACGGTAGAAACACGAATGGGACAGAGGTGGCCAAGCAAACGACTTTTGTACAAAGTCTCCCTCTGGTATACTATATCTTATACTTCTTTCAATAGTAATAATAATTAAACAGTTTAATTCTGCTGGTATAACACTCCCTTTACAGGATGCTCATGGATTCGAAGTCACCCTTCACACTTCACATATTACAGGTGTCTTGGCTTGAAGCTTTACAAGAGACAGGAATTGACGTGACATTTAGGAACCGGAGACATGACAGCTTTGCTAGCTAGCAATGCAGCATATATTTTTGCTTTACCGACCCTGAAGTCTATCACTTTTTTTAGAGGGGGGGGCTTATCCCAGTTTTTTTTATGGGTGAAAATGGTATGGTAACCCCGCCTACGCTAACGGGATACGTTGACGTAGCACCAGTGAAGGGTGATAGATGAGAATGAAAACAGGCCAGTTAGCCCATCATGATGAATTCACCAGGAATTAACCATGATAGTTTCCAGAGGGAACCGCGAGGTCGACCTGGTTGGGTATATTGCTAGCAATGGGATTCTCAGTCTTCATTACTAACAATCCTTTTCCCCTGGCTTATCCCAGTTAGCAAAATACCTTATCAGGTCTACCTTTACGCAGTTCCCCCATCACGGTTAATTCCTGTCGAATTCATCATGATAGGTCAACTGAGGTTACTGGTGCTAACTGGTGCTCCCAAGGTATACCGATAGCGTTGAGTTCTGTCAATTATATTCATAAAAAAAAACATGACCACGTCGATTCCAGTCTCTTGTTGAACGGTTGACGGTGTATACCGTGCAAAATCTAGAAGTTAACCCTTCTTTGCATGATTTTTTTTTATTGGTGAAATAAATCAAGGTGATATAATTCATGTTCAAAATTAAAGGAAAAATGGTTAAAAAAATAAATTTGACAGCTATGTTTTTTTTCTGCAATAGACATTAAAAAGGTATCCAGACACGATCAACTTAAACTTGGTCCTTTATATAATTTTTGGGCATTCAATGTTATGATGGAAATTTCCACCATTATGCAAAGAAGGATTAATCTTTGAGGATCAGGAATTAAATGGTACTATTGCGTGGGAACCATCTTTTACAAAATCATAAGAACAAATGAAGTAAGTAGAAAGGACACTTGTATATTTTTGGTAATTTTTCATTACAACTTTACTATTTATTTATTTATTTATTTTTTAGTACAAATATGTGTACATGGCGGACTTAATGCTAAAAGCATTCTCTCCCAGTTAACCGTAGGCAAGTGTCAGAATACTCGAATGCGGTACTAGTAATTATTGATATACATACATACTAAAATTACATATATAAACGAATAAATATATATTCTCCTACAATTCTTGCCTTTAGACCGCACACATATTTGATGTTTTTTTTTTAATGCATAATAATGGAATGGTGACCCCGCCTGCGCTAACGGTATACGCTGGCGGAGCACCAGTGAGGGATGATAGGTGAGAATGAAAAGGCAAGTCAGTTAGCCCATCGTGATGAATACACCTGGAATTCAGCACGATGGTTTCCAGGGAGTACCATGTGGAGATCGACCTGACAAGGTATATTGCTAGCAATGGGACTGATAGTCCGCATTACTAACAATCCCTTTCCCCCCTATTGGGTTGTAATTTTATTCATAATCAACAAATAATTACATATTGCGACACACATTATTTTATACAACTTAGAATGGCAAACAAGCTGACGGCCCACCTGATGGAAAGTGGTAACCGTCGAATATAGACATGAGCAGTACCATGGACATAACAGAGTATACTGTTTCGCCCATGATACCCCCCATGCGTTGCCATTCCTGAGGACTCAGGTGTTATGCCTCTGTACCCTGGACATACAGGTGCTTATAACGTGTGTCGGTCGCCAACCATAACTGCTTTACCTCTTAAAGGACAAAGTAATAATTATTTGTGATTTTTATACTATTGAGTTCTAAAACGAACTACACAAGCATACGGCCCGCCTGACAGTAAGTAGTTTTTTTAATAGAAGATAATTTAATGGTACCCCGCCTGCGACATCGGTATACACCGGCGGGACACCAGTGAGGGATGATAGGTGGGAATGAAAAGGCAGGCCAGTCAGCCAATCGTGACGAATTCCACTAGAATTAATTATAACAGTTTCCAGGGGGAACTGCGTGGAGGTCGACCTGATAAGGTGTATTGGTAGTTATGGGGAAATGAGAACCTATTACTGACAATACCGTCCCTCCCCCATGGTAAGTGATCACTGTAGCCTCTGAACATCTGCTTAGAGGTATTACACACATGACCTTGAACTCTTCACCCCTTTTTTAATAGAGGTCTAACAGCCCCATCTTTAGCAACGTACTCTGTCAGGTCGAACTCCACGCAGTTCCCCCTGTTTCGTCATGATGGGCCAACTGATCTGCTTCATTTTCACCTATCACCCTTCACTGGTACCCCGCCAGCGTATACCGATAGCGCAGGCGGGGTTACCATCCCATTATCATCCCATAAACAACAGAATCAGAATCCCCGGTAGTGTCCCTTCTACCTGCATATTCACACTTATGAACAAACGCCATAAATGCACCCGGCATTGTGTGTCTGTATGGTCGTTGCATATCTTACGAACTACTTTTTGTATACATACTATATTATTTGGTCTTGTAAACAGTTGCTTCTTGATAAAAGGTCACTGATTGTCTTTTTTTATTTTCAAATCGAGCACGCCATCTGCAAATTGATAAATAACAATGATTATTAACTGTTGTGGTCCCGGCATAGAATGGACCACCTTCCTTTCTTGTGGCTGTCGTAAGGACGCCTGTGGGGAGGGCGAGGGATGGGCAGCAGCGTCCACGTGGAGGTCGACTTGATGAGGCAATACCTATCAAGTCGACTTCCATGTGGTTACCCTGGAAACCATCGTGAATAATTCTTGTTGAATTCGTCATGATCGGCATACTAATCTTGTTCATCTTCACCTATCATCCCTCACTGGTGCCCCGCCGGTGTATACTGATAGTGCAGACGGGGTTACCATACCATTATAACCTTTTAAAAAATATATAGCATGCTTGCCATTAGCTGGATATGGAACTGTCTACTCATTAAATGTAAAATTTGTATTAAATTAAAGCAAATAAAGTTTTCTATTATATTCTACTAGCTTTTACCCGCGACTTCGTTCGCGTAACCGAGATAAGTTGCAGGTGTGTTGCCGGCCTTTTAAAAAGGCCTGCAATGCCGTTGATGTTGTGAGTGATCATGGGCGGCGGTAGTCACTTACCATTAGGTTACCCGCATGCTTGTTTGCCCCTGTTTTGTAAAAACAAAACAAATCACAAGTCTCGATTCCAGCGCCATCTAGTTTTCCTTGTCTCATTTTGTTTTGTGACCAAGCTTAAGTTATCGATTTAAATCAACTCACCGTTACTGTCGTTGCAACAGTAAGCGATCCTTCTCGGCGCCGACTGCTTCCTACCGTGACTCCGTCTTCTACCCTCCTTCACACACAAGTTCAACACGCCCCCATTATCACATTCCAGCATCCCCTTCAGCTCCTCGCCTAACCCCTTCAATTCACCACCTAAAACCTTCAAATCCTCCCCTATATTGTCGGTTAAAACCATAGACTTGATATCCGAACTGTATTTCTCGTTTGTGATAAAAACTGTTTTGGCGTACACTTTTTTTTCATTCTTATATATATGGTTCACGCTTTGCTGCACCAGCTTGTCTATGCGACACTCGAATATGCTTTTGTCTCTTTCTATCTTGTTGAAACATTCGGAGAGGAGGGGTGTTTTTGTCTCTGTCACGCTTACGCGTTTCTCTTTGGGCGGATCCGGTTGAGATTCGTGAGCCACCGTGGCGGTCTCTATGGAAGGAATTTCTGTAGGGTCGTGACGTTCCTTCAAGATCTGAAAGTGAAACAGTTTCCATTTTAGTATTTCGGCTTACTAAGCTTCTTTACCGTGTGGTCCCGACATAGGACAGGCCACCCCTTCCTGTCCCGTGGTCGTAAGAGGCGACTAAGGGAGGGCGAGAGATTGGCAGCAGCGTCCCTCTTACAATATCTCTAAAGGCCTAACTGCGGATGCCAATCCGCCTGCCAAGCGTGGCAACTACTGGCAAAATACCTTACAATGGTAAACAACCATAAGCCATGGTCCCATTCATTACGGCAGTCTATAGTGGAGGGCTACGTTCAGCAGTGAACAGATATCAGCTAATATAATGGTGATGATGATGAAGTTGCTGCTTATAATGTAACGTCCATGACAATGGGGGGTGAATGTGAAAAAAAGACTCTATTTTCCGCGCTTAGCCTCTCATTTGGGCCGTTGTGCGTATGAGTCGTAGCTAGTACAGCCAACCTAGCTCCGCCCAGAAGCACAGAAGCTTCCTGGGGTCTTCACAGGCCCCAAGGAGCGACCTCGCCGTTCCGAGGATTTCTAAACGTTGATGGGCCACAGTCTTACATTCCAAGATTACGCGAGCAACCGTTTATTCGGCGTCGAAACAGCCTCGACGTAGAGGGCTGTCTGTGGCTCCTATTGGGGGGCCATGGGATTAAGGCGTTTTGCCAGTAGTTAGCATGCTTGGTAGGCGGGTTGGTAATCTCAGTTAGGATTTTAGTGATGTCTTAATAATAGTAATTTTTATTACGGACTTTTTTGGTTCATTAAATATTTATTAGTAACAATATTCTTAAAACTAATGTTAGTAAATTTACACACACATATATACACACACACATACACGCACACACACACACACACTCACACACACACATACACGCGCACGCACACGCGCACGCACGCACACGCACGCACACGCACACATAATATATTAAACAGTAAACAGATAATCACCGCTGTACAATTCCATTGGAAATTGCGCAGCAGTTATTAACGTACACACAGTCCAGCCTGCCCGCTATCATACTCAGGATGCTGTTGGCATTGACACGCTTAAGAGGAATGCTGCTGCCTATCCCTCGAACATTAAATACCCTAGTCGAAGGGGTGGTCCATTCTATGCCGGGACCACACAGCAAAAACGAACTTACTTGTGAGATATACAGGCGCAGCTTCTGGCAGCGGTCGCGCGTCGCCTCCCTCTGCAGCACGAGAGCTCGTCTCTCCTCTATTGCATCATCACGGCACGCGCGTACCGCCCGCAGCTCCCGGGTCAACCGTCGGAGGTGTTCCATACTGCGACGGCGGCTGTTCTGGGACGCTAGCTGGTGATATATATAATTAATTTATTATTATCTCTTTTTTTTACACAACTTAGAATGGCAAACAAGCTGACGGTCCACCTGATGGAAAGTGGTAACCATCGCCTATAAACATGAGCAGTACCATGGACATAACAGAGTATACTGCTTCGCCTATGATACCCCCCATGCGTTGCCATTCTTGAAGACTAAGATGTTATTCCTCTGTACCCTGTAAATTCACACCATATCCCACCCTTCAAACCGAAACACAGCCATGCAAACACAACTGCTTCATGGTAGAAACAAGAATGGGATTTAGGTACCCAAGCAAACGAGTTCTGTACAATGTCTTCCTGTGGTAATCTGACCAATATAAAAAAAAAAAAAAAAAAAATTACTCAGCGAGCTAAGGAGAGGGCTATGCTCGGAGTTTCTTTGCCATTTTTTTTATACCGCTGAGGTAGCAAACAAGCATACGGCCCACCTGATGATAAGTGGTTACCGTAGCCTACGAACACCTGCAATACCAGAGGTAATGTGAATGTGAATGTGAAAGGGACTCCATTTTCCGCACTTAGCCTCTCATTTGGGCCATTGTGCGTATGAGTCGTAGCTAGTGCAGCCAACCTAGCCCCGTCCAGAAGCGCAGAAGCTTCCTGGGTTCTTCACAGGCCTCACGGAGCGACCTCACCGTTCCGAGGATTTCTAAACGTTGATGGGCCACAGCCTCACATTCCAGGATTACGTGAGCAGCCGTTTCTTCGGCGTTAAAAACAGCCTCGACATAGAGGGCTGTCTGTGGCTCCTATTGTGTGTAGATGTTTGTTTAATGGACAATGACCCGTTATTGTCCCTATCACTGTTTTGAGGTTTTTTCTGTCTAAATGTAATAAACGTTTTGATAGTCGTTGATTCAACATAGGTACGGCCAATTTTGATTGTCTGCAATCAGTAGCCTGTATCCATCTTTGATTTTGTATGTCAGAGGATCTTTGACGAATCCACATTCGAAGTTGTGAGAATGGAAGAGGAAGGAGTGGATACGGGCCTACCACCCTCGTTCCTGAGCCTTTCCTAGCTAGTTCGTCTGCGGCATCGTTACCATAAGATCCACTGTGCCCTCTTATCCATTGGAGGATAATACGGTTATTGGAAGATATCCTATCCAGTGAATAGTGGCATTCAATTATTAGTTTGTTGTTTGTCTTGTTGTTAATACCAGAGGTATTACGCGCGCGTTACCGACCCTGAAGAAACCTCTTTACCCCCCTTTTGAAGAACCCCATGCTGTAGTCTCTTGGGAAAACCTCGGCAGGGAGCTTATTCCACAACCAGAGTGTTCGTGGGAGGAAACATCTCTGAAACCGCGCAGTACGCGACCATTGAGGCTGTAGGACATGAGGATGAACTCCCTGTCGATGGCGAGCCGTACGACGGTAGAAAGTGGCTGTGTGCATCATATTGAACAATTCCTCTGAGCACAATCCATTGTACAGGCGGTAGGACACGCAGAACTTGCCCTTGTAGGGCACAATGAAGCTAAACAATTTAAGATTTTTTTTCGTATGTTTGTTCAGGTAAGCTGTCGTTATGTTCGAAACAGTTTTGTATATTTGTTTTCTGTGTGTTTGTTTTTTTTTTCTAAAAATTTTTTCTCTAAAGATATCTTTAAAAAAAAGATAAAAAATTAGGGTTTTTTTTTCTATAATTTTCGTATGGACAGACCAGTCCAAAAATACTATGATTGTAGCTTTTTATTTTCTATCTTTTATCAATACGAAGTTTGTGGTAGTCATTCATAATTTTTGTTAACTTTTTTTTTTACAACACAGGGGGTGTTGTGTGCAAACGAGCATGAAGGAAATTGAAGGTTATGTTGTCGTATCGGTTCGGAAATACTGCTGCTGGAAGTTGATTCCAAAGAGTGGTTGTGCGTGGAAGAGAGTGCCTTGAAAAACGCACGGTGGTGGACCGCCACTCGTCCAGATTGATGGGATGAAATTTTAGTTTTTACTTTAATTTTAACTTTTAATTGAAAAAAAGTTTTATTACGCGTTTAAATACGTATAGATTGTGGAACCCTAAAAACCGCCCGTAAGCACGTTATCAAGGCCTTTAAAACAATTCCGCACGCAGCGTGCCGTGAGAACGTAATACCAAACCGGGGGCATATCGTGTTACCGTCTGCCGTCACTCGCCGACCGCAGACTGTTCACACTTCGCTGAATAACTTACATTTATGTCACGTTCACACCGAGTTAGTTATTTTTTTTTTTAAATATATCACATAATGGAATGGTAACCCCGCCTGCGCTATCGGCATACGCTGGCGGGGCACCAGTAAAGAATGACAGGTGAGAATGAAAGGGCAGGTCAACAGATAACAACGACAACCTTCCGAAACCTGCAGTAGATTAAAAAAAAAATTACGATTTATAAGTGCTTGTAAACAAGCCTATTTGAATAGAGATGTTCTGAATTTAAATATATTACCCACCCCCACTATATGGTACCCCATAATACATACCCTGTTCTTGATCCTTCTACGTAATCCCTTCAGGAATGCCAGATCTTCCTCTTTAAGTTTTAACGACTGGACGCGTTCCGAATATTTTATTGTTGGTAAACCGGCCACTTCTTCCACTGTCATGTTGATTCCTCGCGCTGGAAAGTTTTTTTTTTATTTAATTTTATTTTTTTTTTAATTCAGACAAAAGTTTATAAACATAGAGCCATAGATAAATGGATCTTAAAGTCTACCTCGATATTGATGGGGGGAAAGGGATTGTTAGTAATGGAGACTGAGAATCCAATTGCTAGCAATATACCCAACCAGGTCGACCTCCACGCGGTTCCTGGAAACTATCATGGTTAATTCCTGATGAATTCATCATGATGGGCTAACTAGCCTGTTTTCATTTATATCTATCACCCTTCACTGGTGCTCCGCCAGCGTATCCCGTTAGCGCAGGCGGGGTTACCTTATCATTTTCACCCATCAAAAAAAAACCTCGATATTGATACTGATATCAGCCCTTAATTGTCCACTGCTTAACCAAACATAGGCCACATTCTACTAGAGGGAGACTTTGTACAAAAGTCGATTGCTTGGGTACCTCTGTCCCATTCGTGTTTCAACCGTGAAGCAGTTGTGTTTGCATGGCTGTGTTTCGGTTTGATCGGTAGGATATGGCGTGAATTTACAGGGTACAGAGGAATAACACCTGAGTCCTCAGGAATGGCAATGCATGTGGGGTACCATGGGTGAGACAGTATACTCTGTTATGTGCATGGTACTGCTCATGTCTATAGGCGACGGTTACCACTTTCCATCAGGTGGACCGTCAGCTTGTTTGCCATTCTAAGTTGTATAAAAAAAAAATATAGGCCTCTTCCATTAGGGAAGTTTTGCCAGTAGTTGCCACACTTGGCAAACGTAGCTAGACTTTTGGTGGTTTTTTAAAAGGGACTGTACAGCCCATTTCTCAACCATTAAGTTCCCTTAGTCGCCTCTTGCGACACCCACGGGATAGGAAGGGGTGGCCCGTTCTACGCCGGGACCGCACGGCGATAATTATAGTCTATCATCATCATCATCATCATATCACCCTTTAACTGTCCAATGCTGAACATAAACCATCCTCTTGGTGGGTTTTGCCATTACTTACCACGCTTGACAAGCGGGTTGGCAACCGTAGTTAGGCTTTGGTGACGTTTTCTTAAAGCGACATGGCTACCTATCCCTTGACCATAAATTTCCGTTAGTCGCCTCTTACGACACCCGCAGGAAAGGAAGGATTGATCCATACAATACTGGGACCACACAAGGATACGTTATAATAGTCCGTTACACATTAAAAATTCCACAATATACTTCACACGTCGTGCCGATGATATGTGAGAGGCTGGTCAGGTGGCCGTCCTCGATAACGCCGTAAATCAACACCTATCGGTCAAAATACCGCCATTATGTGAGTTGACAGACGGTCGATTTATGCTATGAGCAAAGGTATACAATCATACAGCCATACTGAGGGAAGATAATCTATATATACAAAACCTATTTTTTTTTTTGTAAGTTTGTATATATATTCTTTTTTTTGTAAGAATTGTTATTACTAATTGTTTTAATCCTCAATCCAATCAATATTTATACATTGTTTATATTTAGTTTCAGATATTTTATTTACTTTTAATTTAAAGTCTGATTTTAATTATATTTATTTGTTATTATTAAATGGTCCAGCGATGAAATTGTTGACCCCATACATACACCCATGAACCTAAAAGTCTATGGGCCACAGGTTAAAAAACATAAATGTAGACAATTCAAAAATTTTAAATATAATTGACGATATAACATAATAAGTATAATATATATATATATATATATATATATATATATATATATATATATATATATATATATATATATATATATATATATATATATATATATATAATATATAATCAATTTTATTCAACATTTTTTTTTTATTTTATTATCATACATAAATACATTAAAAAAATTGGATTTTTAGTACCACTTAAACCTCTTGGGCTTGTGTGTGATACTTTACATTCGGTCTTAACTCCTAAAACTTTAAGTTACTTTGTTGTGTAGGAATACTCTATCTGTGTTGGGCAGGCTTCATTACGAGGTACTATTCTATTATTAAATTATTATTATTTCAACCATTAAGTGTCCACTGCTGGACATAAGCCTTCCCCATAAGGGGAGTGTGGTATATCAATAATTCTATGTGTCAGAGTTTTTCTAGAACCACCCTCACTGTTATAACTTTTTATGGAAAAAGCTATTATTATGTAGGGTACTAACATATAACCGATCATCAATTGTAATAAGCCATTCTCAATAAAAAAACATGATTAATTTGTGTTATTCCTTATTTGATATATAATAGGGAGTTTTGCCAGTAGTTGCCACGCTTGGCAGGCGGGTTGGCAACTGCGGTTAGGCTTTTAGAGATGTTTTAAGAGGGATGCTGCTGCTTTTCCATCGCCCTCTCTAAATCACCTCTTACGACACCCACGGAAACGGGACGGCCCATTCTATGCAGGGACCACATGAAGACACACTATTTTATTACTTTTCTAAATTATTCAATACTAATGACCTGCCTCAGCAATAGCCAGCAAAAAAAAACAAACCATGTCACTGTTAATTGCTTTTTATGTGTAAAAATATTTTTTAAATTGATTACATATTTAATTTAATTGTTTATTAATGCATAATGAGATTATAAAGATGTTATAACATACTGTTGTCTACATAAATCCTGCAAATTTTGCAAATTATATATGTACTCATGAATCAAATATTTATACAGTTAATTACATGATAATATATATATGTATATATATGCATTAAAAAAAAAAACATCAAATATGTGTGCGGTCTAAAGGCAAGAATTGTAGGAGAATATATATTTATTCGTTTATATATGTAATTTTAGTATGTATGTATATCAATAATTACTAGTACCGCATTCGAGTATTCTGACTTTTGGTTGACTGGGAGAGAATGCTTTTAGCATTAAGTCCGCCATGTACACATATTTGTACTAATGAATAAATAAAATAGTGAAGATTAAATCAGACTTCATAAAATATGAAATAAGATTTCATATCAAAAACTACATAAAATAAGGAATTATATATTATTATGTTTGCCACCTCAGTGGTATAAAAAAAAAAATATAAAGTAAAATTTCATAAGTATAAAAACAAAATAGTATATAGACATATGTATATATTGTAGATGTAAAAAATTTCATATATTTGAATTTGCATAATTGAGTGTCAAAATGTAGATTTTTCAACAAAACAAGCAGAATTTTATTCATATGGGGTCAATATAATAGAACAAACTCTATAAATCCCAATAAGAATTAACGAAATTGGTGAAGTATATAAAAAATAATCACAGACGCAATATTAAATTATTTACTAGTTTATTACAATTGTTTTATTACAGGTTTTTGCCTAATGTGACAACTTTTAATATATAGTAAATACCATGCATTTTTATGCATTATATACTAAAAAAGTTTTCTGTGTATTTTTTTTAATCACGCACGCCATAAAAACCTATTTTTTTTTTTATTGAAGATAAATATTCTAACATAGACTTGTGTTGTAATTTTTTTAATAATTTTATTACACAGATACTAACAGATAATATATTTTTTATAGGCATATGTAATGCAACAATAAAATACAAAATTGTATTTATGTATGTAAGCAAAACTTTAAACGCAGTACTGTTATCATATTACGTACGTCTTGGGCGGTAATGATGATTTGTTTTTAATTTTTTTTTTTATAAACAGACGAATGAAAATAAAACCCGAGAATGTAATGCACATGTAAAGTATAAATCAGATTGAGCAAAAAGGAAAAAACTGTGTAACGCCAGGAAATAAATCTACGTCACATTACAAAATACCTGTTGCATCGCTTCTGAGAACATAGGAATCGAATTACAAACTTTTTAAATACAGTAAACAACGCATACCATCGAGTATTTCTTGATCCAAGTGATAAGATGATGAGTTCCTTGCATTATCGTCCATTCTTCATATTTATAAAGTTGTTTTTAGTGGATTTTTTAACAATAATATTCGAGTATTCTTATCACAAATTCCAATAGGTTAGACTTGGGAACTCGAAAGTGTCAGTGTCATTGACTGTCAGTACATTGCTGTCAATTTAACATCAATGTCAAATCAAAACGTATAAAAAAGATTCTAATTGTTATAGACCGATTGCCCTCTTTCCGATCATGGAAAAAATTCTAGGAATTCTTCTTAAAAATAGACTCGAATAAATTTTAAAAAGTGAAGATTTATTAGTTAGATATTAATTTGAGTTCAGACGTAGCATAAGTACTACAAATAACCTTGGTGTCCTTACTTCGGAAGTACAATTTGCTTTCTCTCGCAATGAACACCTCATGGAATTTTCTTTGATATCAATATAAAGAATTAATGGTAAATTAGAACGAACTGTAAAGTATAATATATAAAGTATAATATAACTGTAACGAATTAATGCAAGATGGATGAAATGGCGGTAGCTTACGGCAACCATCTGTGATCCGTAAATTCCTAAACTAAAGAGGAAAGTTTACAAGAGCATTATCCGGCCTACTGTATTGCTGTTGAATGTTGGGCACTAAAGGTAACGGATAAAATGCAATGTATGTAGCTAAGATACAAATGTTAAGACAGACGTGTCGTGTGATAAGAAGTCATCATTGTCATAATTTCAGCCATTGTCCCTCTACACTGGTGATAAATAATAAATGTACAAAAATAAGAATGAGTATATCAGAGGAAGTATGAAAATAGGGCCAGTGACAGAAAAGCTAAAGAGTTACCATCTGTTCTGATATGACACGTGATGCGCATGGATGAGAAGTATGCTTTAAAAAAGTTATTACGTATGAATATGAATGACTATAACTAAATAGGAAGATTTAAAAGACTAGAAGAATTGTGTAGAAGATAATATGGTTAGAATAGGAGTGAATGCAGAAATGACTGTGAATAAAGAAGAATGGAAGGGGAAATTATATTACGCCGATTTCAAATAATAATTGGAATAAGAATAGAAATATACGATACGGATCTTCTTGCAAAGTAGGTAGCTATTTTTTTTTTGTTCCGTTTTAGCCAAAGATGGTTTTAATTGTTATTAGTTTCTGTTACCGAAATCTTTGGCAGTTACTAAAATCAAGGAAAATTGAAATTTTTTGGTTCATAATGACATCAATGTCATCTGTCACTGTGTTTGATTTTAATAACTTAACTATCCGGCTATTTATGAGGTAAAAGCTGGCTAGCTATTTGGATATGAGCTATTATAGAAAAGACTCATTATAATCGACCCAATAGCGAGATGCTTAGCCTTAGCTATTTAGTTGAACAACTGCCCACCACATCGGATTCGATTTTCAAAACAGCAACATATGTTGGATAATACGATTGTGTTTTTTTTTATTTCTTTATTTTTTATTCAACAAACTGCGTTGTAGTCATTATTATGTTAGGTATATACATAAGTAAATATTCTTTTAATTTTGTTCACAGTGGTATCATATATGTAATGAGTTAAGATTTAGCTATATTAACCGTAATCAAACACATCATCTCAAAGTTTAAGTTTATGGATCATAGATGTCGCTAACTCTCATTGATAAAATAAATTTTGATAATATTCTTTTTTTTATTAATAAATATACTCGTAGTAATGACTATAATATAGTTCTTTGCAAAAAAATTTAAATAAATAAAAATAAAACAAAATCGCATATTGGAATATTTTGTATATTATTTGTTACTGCGGTGAGAATTGAACTCGATGCAATGTAGCCGGGCAGTTATATAACTAAATTATCAGTTATCGGTTAGCATACGCTATGGTTTCGGCCAGCCACGACAGCTCTCGCAGCTATTAGTAGCCGATAGCCACGGCAACTACCGTAGCTTCCGTAGCCGACGGGTAAACGTAGTTGTTGCCAGTTGACGGTTAGTCAGCTATAACCAATAGCTGTTTATGTTGATGACAGATAACCTAGCCGCGGCTATTCTTTGCGTTACTGCTATATAGCTGGGTATTGGTATAGCAACATCACTATTGTTTTGCATCTGACGTCTCGGCCTTTGCCGGCTTCTGTCAGTCGTTTCTTTGTCTCCTGCTGTTTTTTTTTTTAAATCGGATTTTAACACAATTTTTGTAAGTTTATTTTCTATATTATATTTTTAATTACAACTACAAATCGTATGACTTTACTTTTATTGTATTCTCAAGTACTCATGCGTATTTATAAAAAAAAAAATATGTCGTCACGTGGTATTAACGATTTTTTCTAAACTTTAATCCTACCTATCCTTCCGCAAATGTATGTAATATTTTTCATATTTATCTATGGTAATGAAAATTTATATCCATTAAAAATAAATTAATTTTAATTAATTTTATCTAAAATTAATTAGTTTTCTCAAAAACGATGGGTCAATTGAGTCAATTACTGACTGACCTGCTTCATCCTGAAATAACTTCTTACTAGTTTCCCGCCACCATATATCGATAACGTAGGATTACCGTTCCGTTATCACAAAAAAAAAAAAAAACATTGCATTACCTTTTATTTAATTTGATCTTCGCACGATAAACTTTATGTATTTTACAGTTTGTTTACATGTCTGTTACTATTAAAATATTAAAGATTATTCATTATACACTCGTAAATACGTCTGCGGCAACCGAAGGCTCTACTCATACACTGGGGTGGGCATGGTCCATTCGGTCCCCCATAAGAACGCCTATATCAGCCACTATCACCAAGCTTTTTTTCTATTCTTACTCTATCAATTTTTTTTTAAATGGATGATAATGGAATGATAACCCCGCCTGCGCTAATGGTATACGCTGGCGGAGCACCAGTGAGGGGTGATAGTTGAGGATGAAACACAGATCAGTTAGCCTATCGTGATGAATACACCTAGAATTCAGTATGATGATTTCTTGGGAGGACTAAGTATAGGTAGTTCTGACAGCGTATATTGCTAGCAACGGGACTGCTAGTTTGCTTTACTAACAATCCCTTCCGCACCCGATTCTATCACCTTAAGACAATAATTGTGACTTTATGTTACTTTCTGTTCACAGTACAATGACAGCTAGGGCCCGGGGTTACCACTCGGAGTGGGATCAAATGAACGAGGATTATAATTGTACCACTTATGATGCACAGTACCCTGATGATGAAGTGAGGTGAGGATTGTATAATATATTTAAACTAATAATAGCACCAGTGAAGGATGATAGATAAGAATTAAAAGTTATTAGGTCAGTTGGCTCATCACTGGCATATATGAATACACCTGGAATTCGGCACAATGGTTTCCAGGCCGAAACTTTTCAGAGGTCTATCTGATAGGCTATATTGCTAGCAATGGGACTGATAGTCCACATCACAAAGAATTGGAGATGTTTCAAGAAGGACTATGCTGTACATCCTTCTAACATTAAGTTTCCTTAGTCGCCAGACTACACTCACAGGAAAGGAACGGTTGGCCCATTCTATGCCGGGACCACACGGGAATATAAAGACAGTTACAAAATGAATATTTGATTGTTATCTGATTATAAATAAGTTAAAATTTTAATATATTTTTTAATACCATCTTTTCACAGTGGAGGCGTGGAACTGGACCACTGTAGGCTTTACATCACAAACGTACCGAAGATGTTGACCAACGAGGGTCTCCGTATGGCATTCTCTAAGTACGGAACCCTTACTGAAGTCCATTTGAGCAAGGATCCACAGAAGAAGTATGCAATAGTGAGATTCGAAACTCCAGGGTGAGTTTTTCTGAATACACACAAAAACATGCATACGCACGCACACGCGTACACACACGCGTACACAGGTACACACGCACACACACGCGCACACACGCACGTACACACGCACACACACACGCACACACACACACACACACGTACACACGCACGCACACACACACGTACACACGCACACACGCACACACACCTGATAGAAAGTGGTAACCATTGCCTATAGACATGAGCATGGTGAACCGCATATGAATGTAACTGGTACTATATGTAACTAATAATCCTTCCCCCTGAAATATTACTGTAGTTACACGGCGATGATATGAAAGAGACATGTAATATTTTTTTTAATTTACCAAGTTTTTTTTTATTTCAGCGAAGCAAAGTTGGCGATGTCAAAACTGAATAAGACAGAACCATTGAAACTCAATATATTCATAGCACATAAGGTAAGCTATTGTATTTCCATATGGTCCCGGCATAGAATGGACCACCCCTTGCTTTTCTGTGGGTGTTTTTTTAATGGGTGAAGATAGGATGGTAACCCCGCCTGCGCTATAAGTACACGCTGGCGGGGTTTTTTTTTTTTTTAAATGGATGATAATGGAATGGTAACCCCACCCGCGCTATCGGTATACACCGGCGGGGCACCAGTGAAGAATGATAGGTGAGGATGAAGTAGGTCAGTTAGCCCATCGTGACGAATTCAACAAGAATTGTTCACGATGGTTTCAAGGGGTAACCACGTGGAGGTCGACCTAATAAGGTATATTGCTAGCAATGGGGCTGTCAAACTCCATTGCTAACAATGCTGGCGGGGTAGATAGATAACTTATTTACATTACTTACAGTACACAAATTACAATAATACATATAATAAATACCTGTGAAGGGTGAGGATGAAGGCTTGTCAGTTGGCTCATAGTGATCAATTGAACAAGAATTAATCACTATGGTTTCCAGGGGGAACCGCGTGGAGATCGACCTGATAGGGTGTATTGCTAGCAATGACGCTGTTAAATGTCATTACTAACAATCTCTTTCCCCCCTTTTCCGTGTTGTAAAAGGCGACTAAGGGAACTTAACGGGCGAGCTCCCAGACATAATAAATAGGTTTTTTTTTATGCAACTTAGAATGGCAAACAAACTGACGGCCCACCTGATGGAAAGTGGTAACCGTTGTCTATAGACATGAGCAGTACCATAGACATAACAGAGTATACTGTTTCGCCCATGATATCCTCATGCGTTGCTATTCCTGAGGACTCGGGTGTTATTCCTCTGTACCCAGTAAATTCACGCCATATCCTACCCTTCAAGCCGAAACACAGCCATGCAAATAACTGCCTTACGGTTGAAACACGAATGGGACAGAGGTACCCAAGCAATCGACTTTTGTACAAAGTCTCCCTCAGGTAGGTACATACATCGATATATACTAAACAGGAATAACAAATACACGCGGACGAAGTCGCGGATATCAGCTAGTGTTATATAAAATACTAATTTATCTTCTCATCTGTCTACCCGCGCGAAGACGGGGCGGATCGCTAGTTATGTGTAAAATATTTTAACATTTTAAATTTCATGAGAGCAGACAAAAAAATCAGGGCAGAACAATCGGGATCAAGCCAGGGAGAGGCCGGACCGGGACGGTCTATCAGCCCGGCCCATCATCAGAGATGACACCAGCAGCGTAGACAGTAGAGTCAGAAGTATAAGGTAAATAGTATTTTTTTTATATTTCACTTTGAACACTCCGAATGGCATCGACAGGGGTGGTCGACTTGACCAGACCCAAGATCTACTGTTTACTGACGAAACCCTGTGCGATCTACCAATTACTTCTTGAAATTACAAATGAAACGACATAGTTCAGTACACAATTATGTAGTAACGCAGTATGTTTTATTTTATTAAGAAGGGAAAACATAAATGAACATAAAGATTGATAAATGTGGAAGAAGCGAAAGAGGTTTGTTTGAATGGAAGCATTTGGCATTCCATTGTTTCTGCCTACCCTAATGGGAGACAGGCGTGACAGATATGTATGTATGTATGTATGTAAAACATAAAACTGGAAATTATTCTCAGTAACTACTTATTTATATTAATGTGAGCATTGCGTCTGCGCATCTTCTGCTAGATTAGCCAAATATATTGTTTGACTTGCCACAATCGACTGGACAATAGTCGCGATCGACCGGTTTTTTAATGGGTGAAAATGGAATGGTAATCCTGCGCTATCGGTATACGCTGGCGGGGCACCAGTGAGAGGTGATCAGTGAGGGTGAAAGCAGGTCAGTTAGCCCATCGTGAAAAAATCCGTTAAAAATATCCACGATGGTTTCCAGGGGGAATCGCGTGGAGGTTGACCTGATAGGGTACATTGCTAGCAATGGACTGTTTGATCCCATTACCAACAATCCTTTTCCCCCCGCGATCGACCGGTTGGGCACCCTTGATATACTTTAGCTATGAGAATTGTCGATGATCCCATGCTTGCAAGCGGTATTGAACCCTTAAGTCTTAGGAGAGATTTTGCCTTACTTTGCGTGTTCTACCGCTTATACAACGGATTGTGCTTAGAGGAATTATTCAATATGATGCCTACGGCCACTTTCTATCATCGTACGGCTCGTCATCGACAGGGAGTTCACCCTCATACCTTACAGCCTAAATGGTCGCGTACAACGCGGTTTCAGAGATGCTTTCTCCCACGAACACTCAGGTTATGGAATGAGCTCCCTGCCGAGGTTTTTCCGAGAGACTACAGCATGGGGTTCTTCAAAAGGGGGGTAAAGAGGTTTCTTCAGGGTCGGCAACGCGCGCGTAATACCTCTGGTATTGCAGGCGTTCAAAGGCTACGGTAACCGCTTACCATCAGGTGGGCCGTATGCTTGTTTGCCACCTCAGTGATATAAAAAAAAAATATACAAGTGTTTCTTTTAATGAATGACGATGGAATGGTAACCCCGCCTGCGGTAACGGTATACGCTGGCGGGGCACCAGTGAGTGATAATAGGTAAGGATGAAAAGGCAGGTCAATTAGCCCACCATGACGAATTCGACGATAAAGTAGTTTTTTTTTATTGGATGAAAATGGAATGGTAACCCCGCCTGCGCTAACGGGATACGCTGGCGGGGCACCAGTGAAGGGTGATCGATGAGAATGAAAACAGGCCAGTTAGCCCATCATGATGAATTCATCTGGAAATGATCATGATAGTTCCAGGGGGAACCGCGAGGAGGTCGACCTGGTTGGGTATATTGCTAGCAATGAGATTCTTAGTCCCCATTACTAACAATCTCTTTCTCCCCCGATAAAGTAGTCATGATGTTTTCCAGGGAGAACCGCGTGGAGGTCAACCTGATAGGGTATATTGATAGCATTGGGGACTAACCTAGCCATTACTAACAATCCCTTCCCCTCTGCACAAAGTAGCTTGGGTCACCAGTAATTTCGATGAGGCGCTCTGCAATCGTCCGATAATAATGCTTTGTATTCGGACCCCATGAGCCTATGGTCTCTGTATCGATGCCGTAGCAAGACCTAAGTTTATGTTTTTATCGTAAATTATAATTAGTTTAGAAAGGTGCTATAGTAAAGTATTACGACACACCCTCAACGGCGATCGGATCGGACCACCTAGCATGACGCAAGAAGGTGCGCTACCGAGAAAGACACTTGCGTCGAGTCAGCACTTCAATTCCCACAGCAAAATTACCCAGTTCCTTTGTATTTGATTCGATATGACTTCACTTACAGATCACACATCGATCTGAAGGCACCTATTATTGTAACAATTAATTTTATGATTAAATTTAGTTATTTTATAAAATTGGTCTTTTTTGGGTCTTCCGCCAGCGACTTCAATAACTAAGGGTCGTTTACGAACGTTCATGCGTTTGGTAAACAATCTCTGTATTGTCATTTTTTGACATTTGTTTATGATATCAATCGTCTCACGCTTTGCTTTTGTCTTGAGTCATTCTTTAAAAAAATAAGGTATTCACATTAAGTACTCGTCTTTAAATATTAAACTGAAATCCAAGTGGGGGACCCAAGAAATACGTAACAGGTAAGACAAAAGAACTTTTTGGTAGGGCAGAAGTCATAATTAAGAGACTTCGAAAAAGCGGATCTGTCTAATTTTCTTGGAGCCTATCATTTTAAGGTAGGACGTTGGGTCTATCAAGGAAGGTAATTGCCCTTCGATGCCTTCCTACGGCTATGCTCTACAGTAAATGGTAGGAAATAATAAGACCTCTCCAGATGTATTTTTTTTTTATGGATGAAAATGGAATGGTAATCCCGCCTGCGCTAATGTGATACGCTGGCAGAGCACCGGTGAAGGGTGATAGATGAGGATGAAGCAGGTCAGTTAGCCTATCGTGACGAATTCAAAAAGAATTGTTTACGTTGGTTTCTAGGGGGAACCACGTGGAGGTCGACCTGATAGGGCATATTGCTAGCAATGGGGGTGTCAAACTCCATTGCTAACAATCCCTTTCACCCCCCCCTCCCCCTTTAAGGGTTTAGGATCCTTATGGAAAATAATTTTAAATATTCCAATGACGTCATAGTGTGCTAATAGATAGAAAGAAACCATAGTATATTTTGAAAAAACAAAAAGAATAATAATTTTTCAAACTTTTATCATTAATTAAAAAAATAAATTTAATATGTAAAAGTATTAGGGGAACTGTAAAAGTGGTAATTTTGGAGTAATGTCGTCTACAGTGTATTCTTTTATGTCCTTTATGTATAAACTGTATTTTAGCCAAACAAAACAATTATTTTTTTTGTATTTAAATGTTGACAGTAGACACCTTTGAAAAATCATTACCGTCTTTCTTTGAAAGTCGGGTAAAATGCTGTATTGGAGAACTAGTAAAATCTACTTTGTATTTGTCAAAAAACTTGTTACAAATTTTGTTATCAACCTGCCGACACGCTATATTGAATAAAAAACATACCTATATAAAGCATTCTTTGTTAATCATATACAGCTTTTGTTTATGTAAACGGATACTTCTCGACTCTGCATCTTGGGGTCAAATTATGAATGCCCTTTTTATAACGATGAAGAACAAACAATATTTTTAATACAAATAATACAATTCATTAAAAAGGACACGTTAGGAATATATTTGTGTTTGTTATTTTAGTGAAAACACATTCTTAGCTGTTTATAACGTATATTTTTGTTTCCATAATTATCTTTTCCGTGAAAAAAAAAAAGATAGGTATTACCTACCTACCAATAGGAAGACAGAGATCATTTGACATTTCATTCTATTGGTCATTCGCTCTATTGTACAATCGCTATTCTTCTGCTTCCGTTCATATACTTGTAAAAAAAACATTTTACAAATGGCGGTAAACCGTTGTGTTATAAAGTCTTGTTTTGTGTATTTTGTTTTGTTTTCATTAGTTTTGTGAGGATAATAACGTAAATAATAAACTTGAACGTTAAACTCTACGGTTATAATAGTGTGCTCGATATTTGATTACTTTGCTTTTAGTTTTAAGTGTTTAATCGCTTATTGACATAGTAGGTAATAAAAATGGAGAACCCTGATTCAATTTTGTTGAATAAGTATTTTTCTTCGTTGCAACAAGAAAACAAGTAAGCAATTATTATTTAATTTCAAACTTTTTCTTTTTTTTACACATTTTAAATTTACGGTGGAGGCTAATGAATCGGGTTTGTAGGTACTATTTATCTGTAATCGCGTCGCTTTAAGTAATCTTAAATTTAAAATATGACTAATTATTATTTTTCTTGTACATTTTTTACTTGTAATATTTTTACTTTATTTGAATCGAGTGTTAACTCGTTATATTCATTTACAAATAGTTACAAAGTTTTATAATGGAGGTAGATGGATACAAAATTATAAACTCAGTTTCGATCTTATAAATGATCTATTTCCTTATTTTTATTGAAATATACAATTCAAAAGACTGGTGCCTATTAAGAAAAGATTTTACTATGTCTATTCACGCTATTGTCTCATAAAACTGTCGTAGGTATGAAATCTTTGTTTTTATGTTTTGCCGTTTCGTTATTTTATTAAAGTTACCATTCGAAGTTCAAACCTATTTTCTAATAGGCACTTGTGTTGCTTATTTACCGAAGTTTACCCGTTGATCGGATTTTTTTTCTGAACTCAATATATAGATATATACTAATTGAGATGGTTTGGTCACAATCTTCTCGAACAGTGACATTACATCGGTAAATAATTTGTGAATCATCATATCACCCTTTAACTGTCCACTGCTGAACATAAGCATCCCCTTGGGAGGTTTTGCCAGTAGTTGCCACGATTGGCAGGCGAATTGGCAATCACAATTAGTGAAATTGTGAATACTGACTTATTAGCTGTGTAATAAAATTTTTTTTGTACTCCTTTAGTGTAAATTACATATTAGGCACTTTCTTAGTTTGGATTGGTTATTTTATTTTTTAATCAATAAAAATGGACTAGAAGTCAACTTACCCCCTATAATCTAGGGTTTAGGGGGGGGGGGGAGCTAACATATTACACAGAGTTAATCACAATGATTTTCTGAAGGTTTACTTAATAGTGCTTGTCTTGATTGGATATATATATACCCCATATTTGCTATTTCCTGTAATTAACAATCCCATTTTACTTCATTATTTTTACTTCAAATAGTGCTATCCCCATAGATAATAACTTAGGACTAAATCTGGTTACTTGGTCCAATGTAATGAATTTACCAAGAATGGGAGACTGCATTTATTAGTAATAGGGATTCCAGCCTCCATTGCTTGTAAGATACCCTTTAGAAGGACTTCTTTCCCTCTGGAAATAATTATGGTTTATTTTTGATTAATTTGTCTCGATGGGTTAATTTTGACTTGAATTTTTATTTTTAATGAATGATAATGGAATGGTGACTCCGTCTGCGCTATTGGTACACACTGGTGGGGCACCATTGAGGGATGATAGATGAAGACGAAGCAGGTCAGCAAATTGTGACAAATTCATTAATGAATTAATCATTAGTGTTTCCAAGGGGAACTGCGCGGAGGTCAACCTGATAGGATATATTGCTAGTATTAGGATTGTTACCCCCCATAATTAACAATCTCTTCCCCCCCAATTGACTCGAATTAATCCTCACTTGTGTCCTGTTAGCATATACTGATGGTGCAGGCAAGATTACTATTACATTATCTTCATTAAAGAAAATTCATCAAAAGTCAATCTTTGATGTTTCTAAGGGTATAGCATGGAGGTCGATCTGATAGTATCATTGCTTAGTAATAGCTCTGCAATTACCATTATTTATAATTTCCTACCTCATCAAAATGGCCACACAGCAGTCTATTGTGGAATGCTCTCGCTCGGCTGTGAACAGAAGTAAATGGAGACATATTGTGAGGACCTCATTCAGGAAGGAGAGCCTCATCGACAATCCACTGTCATTGTAAAAACCACAACCACTCTCTCAAGAGTGTACGACTGAAGAGAGAGAGATAATTTCTTCCTTAAAACACATTACCAATTAATTGTTGCCATGGGTCTCCACATTATTGCCAACCTCCCTGCTAAATGTGGCAACTACTGTCAAAACTTCTCTTATAGGGAAGGCCTATGTTTAGCAGTGGATAATTGACAGCTGAAATGATGATGATATGATGATCACCACCCAGGTTATTTTGTATTTTTGAAGTTTTTTTAACTTTGTGTATTCAATTCATATCATTCCATTTTCATCAGTTGAAAAATGTATGAACATTTTTAGTATTTTGTGATATTTTTATTGTTTCAGAAAACAAATGGATTTGACAAATGGTGATAATGATGTGGACGATGATGCTCTTGGTGATGATGCATTTGTGAGTTTTATTTTTTTTATATTACTTGGAATTAAGCATTGGAAATATCAGTACCATTTTGATACCTATATATTTAATGGATGATAATGGAATAGTAATTCCACCTTTTTGGTTAGACAACTTAGAATGGCAAACGAGTTGAGGGAATGATGATGAGATGAGAAGTTGAGATAAAGGTGATGGAAAGTGTTAACCATCACTTATAGACATGATCAGTTCCATGGACGTGACAGAGTATACTGTGTACACCTCATGCGCTACCGCCCCTGAGGACTAAGTTGTTATGCTTCTGTATCCTGTAATTTAGCTGCCATATTCTACTATATACCGAAACACAGCCATGCAAACAACTGCTTCATAGTAGAAACATGGATGTGACAGAGGTACCCAAGCAAATGATTTTTGTACAAAGTCGCTTACTGGTAAAATTATTATATTGCTATATATTAGCTACCTTGGAATGGCAAACAAGATATGGTGTACCTTACATATAAACACATTACTAACACTCCCTTCCTTCCGAAGTACTAATGCAATAAATGTACTTCCAGGATGTAGACATGCTGGACCCAGAGATACACCTCGAGCTGGAGCAGATTAAGCTGAAACAGCTGGAGCTGCAGGAGAAGCAGGTCCGCTGCAAGCAGAGGATGCTGCTCATCAAGCAGTCCAAGAAAGTTGTGAGTTTATTTGTGTTCTTTTTTTGTTCTTTTTTATTGTTATATTCATTGTTGTTTTTATTCTCCTTTTTTGTTTTTTTTTATTATTTTGTTTTATTCTTTTATTTTATTATTAAAGAAAGTTACCCTATTTAAAATTAGTTTTTTTTTATATTATAAAATGCATTGTTTCAGGCGAATCTAAATACATCATCAAACCGGTGCATCCTACCTGACGGAAGAATTGTTGTACGCAATGTCAACGAACGGTATGTATATATTTATCATCTACACATGCTTAACATCGCCGTATGGTCCCGTCGTAGAATAGGCCACCCTTTCCTTTCCCTTGGGTGTCGTAAGAGGCGATTAAGCTAACTTAATGGTCGACGTATGGGCAGCAGCGTCCCTTTTCGAACATTGTCAAATTTTGTGGTTGCCAATCCGCTCGCCAAGCGTGGCAACTACTGGCAAAACCCATCAAGGGGGAGGCCAAACGTGGTAACTACTGGCAAAACTCACCAAGGGGGAGGGGAGGTTGGTTTTGCCACAATTGTAACCTTTTTTTAGGGAACAATCTTAATTATTGGAGAAGCATTTGTATTAAAATACCATGTAATTTAAGGGTGTAATTACTTAACGTCCTTCACCAGTTATAATAACAAGTTTATTCATGGGCTGCATTAAAATATGCTAAATGAAAAACCTAGTCAAATTACGTGGGGGGAAAGGGATTGTTAGTAATGGAGACTGAGAATCCCATTGCTAGCAATATACCCAACCAGGTCGACCTCCTCGCGGTTCTCCCTGGATACTATCATGGTTAATTCCTGATGAATTCATCATGATGGGCTAACTGGCCTCTTTTCATTCTCATCTATCACCCTTCACTGGTGCTCCGCCAGCGTATCCCTTTAGCGCAGGTGGGGTTACCATACCATTTTCACACATCAAAAAAAAAATTCATATTACGTATGGATAATATATAGCGATATCTTATATATTTAGTTACAATATCTATGTATTGGAGTAATAATGCATATATTAATGAAGAATTATATATCGATATTTATCGATAGATATCGGACCTGTATAGGTATGATCGTATTTTCCGTCAATATTCGAAGGAAGTGTGTATATAATTTTTTTTAATGAATGATAATGATATGGTAACCCTGCCTGCGCTAATGGTATACGCTGGCGGGGCACCAGTGAGGGGTGAGGATTAAAAGGCAGGTCAGTTAACCCGTCGTGATGAAATATACCTGGAAATCAGCATGATGGTTTCCCGGAGAGACTACGTGGAGGTTGACCTGACAGGGTATATTGCTAGAAAAGGAAGTGGTAGTCCATATTACCAATAATCCCCCCCTCCCCCCCCTCCATATATAGATATTGGAGCGATACTAATATAAATCATGCTTAATTCAAATATCTAATGATTTTTTTTAAATTTTTTTTTTGCACAAGACGCATGGTACGGGTGGCATGGTGAGTGTAGATTCGTAAATGAAATTGTGAGTGTAATGTGACGTGTGGTCCCGGCATGGATTGGACCACCCCTTTCTGTTTCCGTAGGTGTCGTAAGAGGTGACTAAGGGAACGTAATGGTCGAGGGATTGGCAGCAACGTCCACCTTAAAACATCACCTAAGTCTAATTACGGTTACCAATCTGCCTGCCAAATGTGGCAATTACTAGCAAAACCCCCCAATAGAGGGAGGTCTATGTTCAGCGGTGGACAGTTAACGGCTGAATATGTTTGTTTTGTTGAAGTTGTATAAACTTAGAATGGCAAACAAGCTGACGGCCAACCTGATGGAAAGTGGTAACCGTCGCCTATAGACATGAGCAGTACCATGGACATAACAGAGTATACTGTTTCGCCCATGATACCCCCATGCGTTGCCATTCCTGTGGACTCAGGTTTTACTCCTCTGTACCCAGTAAATTCACGCCATATCCCACCCTTCAAACCGAAACACAGCCATGCAAACACAACTGCTTCACGGTAGAAATACGAATGCAAACGACTTTTGTACAAAGTCTCCCTCTAGTAAATATAATGATAATGTATTATACTAAGTATGAGTATGAGGTTGTAATATATATATATATATATATATTGTTGTGTTTCATATTTCATTATTGTTTTTTTTTTTTTTTATCAAATATTGTAATTAATTTCAAATAATGTATGATTGTCATTAAATAAATAAATTTGAAGGAAGGGAAAGTAAGGAGATTGTTAGTTATTTTTGTTTTATTAGCATATTTTGATTTTTTTTATTTGTGCTTTTTTATTTTCATTCTTTTATCTCTTTTGCTGTGTATTATGTGTATGTTTTTTTATTTATTGTAATTTGTGTGCTGTAAGTAGTGTAAATAAATTATCTATCTATCTAATATATTATCCTACTGTTTATTTATTTATTTATTATTATTTTTTAATTTAGATTTTAATTGAGCAGAAAATGCTTTTTGTTTATATACTATTTTTTTTTGTTCTTGTTTTTCGTGCTACTGTGTGAGTCGCATGCTTCTTTGATTAAATTAATTCAATCTTTCTATTATATATGTGGGTGGGACAGAGGTACCCAAGCAGACGACTTTTGTACAAAGTCTTCCTCTCGTTTTCTTTTAATATATGTATTTACTTTTTGACAGGAACTTGGAGCACCGTGAGGCGGACGCTAGCTACGGCACGGGCGCTGGCGATTCGGTAAGTAGCTTACTATATATTATTTATTATGTATTTTATAACATTTAGTGCTTTTTCACGTGCTCTGTCTGTCATTAACATGGTGCAGCTGGGTGGAGAAGGAATTGTTAGTAATGGGAACTAGCTGGCTCCATTTTTTTTTAATGGATGATAATGGAATAGTAGCCCCGTCTGCGCTGACGGTATACGCCTTTGGGGCACCAGTGAGGCTTGATAAATTAAAATGAAAAGTTAGGTCAGTTAGCCTATCGTGATTCCAATACACTTGGAATTCAGCACAAGTTCCAAGCAGCATTGGTTTCCAAGGGAACCATGGGGAGGTCGATCTGTTAGGGTATATTGTTAGCAATGGGAGTGGTAGTCCACATTGCTAACAATCCCCAAAGCGATCGGGCTCCATTGTTAACAATATACCAGGTCGACCTCCACGCGGTTTCATCACCCTGGAAACCATCTTGGTAATTTTTTTTATGAATACGTCACTATAGGCCGACGGATCTCCACCATACCTATCGTTTCTCACTGGTGTTCTGCGACTGTATACTAACAATGCAGGTAGTGTTTTTTTTTATGGGTGTTAATGAAATGGTAACCCCACCCGCGCTATCGGTATACACCGGCGGGGCACCAGTGAAGGATGATAGGTGAGGATGAAGCAGGTCTGTTAGTCCATCGTGACGAATTCAACAAGAATTGTTCATGATAGTTTCCAGGGGGAACCGCGTGGAGGTCTCAATGGGGCTGTCAAACTCCATTGCTAACAATCCCTTTCCCCCCTGCAGGTAGGGTTTACTATTCTATTATCATCCTATTAGAAAAAAATTGCTCTACGCCTCTAGGTGGGAATGGGATATTTAGTAATGGAGATATTACTCACCATTGCTGTCAATGTACGTTAGGTGGTTTTTTTTTTAATTGGTAATAATGGAAAGGCAAACCCGCATGCGCTAATGCTATACGCTGGCAGAGTGCCAGTGAGAGATGATAGGTGAGGGTAAAAAGGCGGGTTAGTTATGATCAGGTCATGATAAATTCATCTGGAATTAAAGATAGTGGTTTCCGGGAGTACGTCGTGTTTAACCTGACAGGGCGTATTGCTACCAAAGGAGATGCTAGACTCTGTTACTAACAAGCCTTTCCCCACACCTTAGGTAGGTTAGGACCTCCACGCGGTCCCTCGTGGTTAATTTATATTAAAATCTATTTAGCATGGCCTGTGCAACGTTTCATGTTAATCCATTAAAAAACAAACACTCCACAACTTGCTATTTCACGTTTCATTTGCATAATTAGCTTTGGATATCTGAAATCCTTTATAAATCTATATAGATATTATAAAGAGGAAAGATTTGATTGTTTGTTTGTAATGGATTAACTCAAAAACTACTCAAACTCATTTTGAAAAAATCTTACCTATAGAAGGCAACATTATCGATGAGTAACATAAATAGATAGATAGATAGATACTCTTTATTGTTTCCTCCAAAAGATTACAATAGTAAACTTATTATAGATACAAACAATTACATAAACTTAGGCTGTATATTATTCTCAGAGAAATTAGAGATTCCTACGAAAAATACAGCAATGTAAGCTGAAGTCAGCGTCGCATTTAAGTGTACGCAACAAGTTTTATTATACATAAAAAGTAAAATCTTTAAATATATTTTAACTATTACATTATTTTGTCTCTTTCAAATTGAGAATTGAGCACCAAGGAAAGAGACATGAAAAATACAGCAATCTAAGCTGAAGTCAGCGTCGCATTTAAGTATACGCAACAATTTATTTTTATGCAACTTAGAATGGCAAACAAGCTGAATGGCCCACTTGATGGAAAGTGGTGGTAACCGTTGCCTACAGAATATCAGTGTTCTTCTCTTTTGAGGGCAAAACAAACTGACTTGTGACTATTTTGTGTTACTATGGCACACACATGAGAAAAAGTTATTACTTATTTTATATATATTTTTTTATATACATTCTTTTCTCTCTTTTTACTGATTATGTCTGTTGCTATGTGTGTGCTATAAGTAATGCAAATAAATTATATATCTATCTTTCTATATTTTTAGTCGAAAAATTGCTCGATACATTCTACGCTGAGAGTTCATACTTTAGCTCACAGAAGTGTGGCAACGTCGCAATTGTCTGTCAATTTACAAAAACATTGAACATTTTTCAATGTTTCTGAGTGATTATTTAAAAAGTGCTCTGCTAGGGAACTAAATTGTTAATTATAGAATAAGTTGCATATAAATCTCCAAAAACTTAAGAAAGAGAGAACGCTTTGATCAATGTATTTTGGCTACATTGACGTTTACAAGATAAGACTTTAGGGAGACCGGATGACTTTATTCCACTTGTGTATCTGTCTCTAAACAACGGTACCTGCATGGCTGTATTTCGGTTTGAAGGGCGGTATATAGAATGTATAATTAAGATGTCACAAGATTTTCAATGGATACTTTTCGTCATTATATTTATTGTTGGTATCACGTTATCAATCTTGTTTGCGTGCTTGGCTGTAATTGTGAGTGGACGATTTGACTCAGTCCTGTAGCCGTAGACTTGGTTAAGGTGCAGGAAGCATAGGGTTGCCAGAGAGTAGTTATAAAATGTAGTTTAAAAAGGAGCTGCGTAGTTTTGTTCGAATGAAATAACTGAAGAATTAACATTGTAACTGTTTGGCTAGCACCTGGCAACCGTAGATGTAATATACCATCTGATCCAAAGAGATCATTTTTTGGCAGAACGAGAGAGATACGATCTGCTCCTGCAAAACCAAGAAAACGTGGGACGAAGCTTCCGAAGGCACTTCCACTCCCGCCACTTGCGTCCTCTGTTCGGAAGGCAGCAGAAAGAAGGACTCAGATAAGTCAAGTAAATATACGGGATTGAGCCAAAAGTCCGATTTTTCTAGCAATTTTACTAATAGCAAAGCCTCTTTGACCAGTTTTAAAACAAATGATAGTAGTAGAAAATCTGATTGCAGTAAATTCACGGATGTTATTATTAAAAGGACTGATATTATTAAAAAGCTAGAACTTGACAAAAGTTGGAAAAGCGAAATTACTTGTGGTGACTGCTACATTGATGGCGAAAATGAGGTAGACGAAACTGACAGATTGATTCAATTGAGGAATTCTGATTATATGGACATTGTGGAGGATAATCTTAAATTTGTTGTAGCTTTAGCCGATTATCCCAAGTCGAAAATGCGATTGCGTCAAATGAAACAGTTCCAAAAGTGTTTGTCAGATATTATAGATATGCAGATGAAAGCGGGCCTACTGAAAAAAGAACCTTCATTCCTAGATTTTTATTTAAACAGAGGTGCAATAGTTTGTATTTGCAAGGATATTGAGACTAGAAATTGGATGGTAAGAGTGAATCCTGGTATGCAAGAAAGAATGTGTAACAATCTAATTTTACTAAAACCTAAAGTGAAAAAGTTGTGTTTGGCTGTGTTGAAAATACCTAAATCATGCTGGCCCGCTACTGCTCAAGATACGTTTAAATTATTACAGTATTTTAATCCGACTTTAAAAACAAAAACGTGGACGATTTATTCACAAAAGTCTGCGGATAATGTCGAAACAACTTCTTTCGTAATAGACAGGGTTTCAGCGGAAATAATTCGAGGTCCAAATTTCAAAAACGTTATCGATTACACTCAATTGGATTTTGAACTGACTGGCTACACAGGGATTTACTACGAATGTTTATTGTCTGATTCTGACGAAGAAATTTCTAGCATATCATCTAGGGTTAAGCTCTTAGAGGAATTAAAATCTAAGGAAACTACGCTTAAAGTATTTTCCGAAGTTAGTATTAAAACACAGGACACTACTATTAAAGAAAAGGAGCCAGAAGATTCTGATAATAAAATAGTTGTAAACGAAGAAAACAACGGAGATAAAAAAGATGAAGTAATATGTCCTCTTCAGAAGGATATATTAAAACAAATAGAAGAATATTTTACATATAAAAGAGAAAAGGGCGAAGCCATTATTTGTTCCGATAATACTTATTACAACAGTGGTCAGGAAACAAAAAAATATGATAAAGTAAATGAAGAGAATCAAGATGGAAGTCAAACTTCTACTTCAGAAGCTTCAGCTCTTACTATGTCCGATAAAACAGAATCATTTGATGAAAACATTGATAATTTAAACGGGAGAAATAATTGTTTGAGTATAGACAGTAACAGAGGAATAGCATATCATAGACGCACTAATTATCTACATGTCGAAGATGAATTTAAGGTCGCTATAACTCTTGAAGGATATCCACAGAATAAGTTAGATGGTACGCATATTAAGAGGTTGAAAGATTTGTTCAAAGAGTATTTGCATAAAGACATGAAACAGTTACGATTTGCTAATTTGATCATTCCAAAGTTTCAAGACGTGTACTTGTCGAACGGTGCAGTGATTTATATTTGTGAATGTCTAGAAACGAAAGATTATTTAATTGAATTATTGCCAAAGTTTATTAACTCCACTGGATTGACACTAACGTTTAGGGACATGAACAGCTTGGTTAGATACACAAGGATTGTTATGCGTCTACCCCAAGAGCAGGCACATGTGGAATCCTCGGAGATTCTGCTAAAGTTACAATCGAAATATCCAGCTTTGAAATCGGATTGTTGGAAGTATTATTCGAACGTTGCCGGAAAACAAAAACGCCAATTTGGCGTTGATCCGGAGTCACTAGAAGTGATCAAAAGTCCTGACTTCGACCCTGTGTACGACGGTTACAAATTGATTTTTAGGATTATCGATAGACAAAAGAAAGATGTTAGTTTTGAAGAATCGAATAAAAATGAAATTGATATTGATAATAAAAAGAAGGAGTTATTGAGAAAGATGTATATCCCTATGTACCCAGAGTTAACCAACGCCGCTCTGAGTCGTATTAGGATAGATCACTATTCGGATTTGATTGCGGACGATCTAAAGCTTTACGTAGGCCCATCAAATTATCCGGAATCG